AAGATAAGTAAATTAGAGCAATGGTGTGGAATAAAAATATAGAGATATCCTACGTACACTATATGATATGTATATTGTACTGTTTGACTTAACTTTAAAAGCTTAAAATAAAACAAATACATATGTTCATACAGAATATAGATAAACACTGAGAATGTGAATTTGGTATGCAAAAAAAAAACGGTTTGACATTTAAAAAAGTGTGACATAATCTAAATGATCACTATAGGTACTAAAATATATAGCTGCAGACATTAAGAAATTCGACCGAACTACTGCGCAAAACGTATACAATGTAGGAGCGTATACATACACTGCAGGTATTACAACAACGCTGACATAATATTATATGCGTGCCGTAGCTACCTGAACAATATAGGAAAAGATTTCGTACTCGGATAATGCGCTCAATTGGTGCGACGAACGCCACCACAGGTCTCGTGCGACTATTTAGGCGTAAAACGGTGGTCATGTGTGATGGCGTGTGATGAGTGGGGTCGTGACTTTTGCGTGTTAAATTACCCGCTTTTCCAAAACGGTGTGCAACGCTACAGGGGTATAGTTTAATATAGTACATTAATCTCGCTTGGACACTCGCCGTCGGAAATATGTATACATAATAATAATAATAATAACAATATTATATATTGTACATAATGTGATGGGAATCGACGCTAGAACAGACGTTTATCACGGAGACGATCGCGTCGGCTGTATTATTATATATACCTATACGTACATATATAAAGGCACTGCACGCAGAGCGTACAAACAGTAACACGTCGTATATATAATATATTGCATGTACATTTTATATGTATTACGCGCATGACGATGAAAAAAAATAATAACAATAATAATAAGGGCTTCCGTAATAATCGTCCCGCATTTTCGAGGCTAATCACCCTCCGCATCAGTGTTAAAAGGTCTCTATAATATGTATTCGGCGATGTATATATGTATAATATATGGTACACGTCGTTACGGCTGAGCAACGTTGTGTATGTATGTGTGAAGGGTCGTTGCATGGTGAAAAAAACACCGTGGTTCTACACGAAATTCTTAAAAAAAAATTGCTCACGCTCGACGCTTTAAACAAATTTGATCAACACGCCGATTTTGAGGTAAGTTTGCGAGAAACGAGACCATATATACGTTAGACACTTTTGTTAGCGTTGCAGTTGCTGCTCCCCGTCGTTTTGTCGGGATTTTGACTTCCGGAAGTAATACGGATGTCATAATATATTTCTTACTTATCTGATCGTCTCTCTAATCTCCTCCCTACCCGCACATGGACGATTGGAGTATTGGGTTTCCTCGAAAAAGGTCTCTATTGGTATATATCTCACACACATACACATTATACAGTATATTATTACCGTTGTTAATTTATTAAATCAATTATAATTTTTTCTGTGAATAATATTATACATAGGTGCATAGCAGAACCTACAACTATAATAGCATATTTGTATATTATTTCAATACATAAAATACAATTTTGAGAGAGTATAGTTTATAAGTTGCTACCACACAACCAGTTAGTTACAGTGGAACAAGGGATACTCCACTAATATTATTGATCCTCTACTTCGCTCATCAGAACTTTAAATACCTAAGACTAATTATATATTTGTTTAAAATTCGATTTAAAAACGATAAAATGTAATACGAGTATAAGTACAAGAAATTGATTAGATTGAGTCATTATTGAGTATAATAATATATATATATAGAAGGAAAACAAAATAAAACATTTATATTACATAACTAATTTCAAACTATAAATTTACAAGACAAAAAATGTAACACAATCATTAAACAAAAAATTATGATACCTTATTTCTGAAATACGCAGAAAATAATCTGCATTAGAATATAAAAAGAAGATTGCATTTTGTTTTTCAAAATAAAAGTAAACTTACGAATAAATGATAACGATAGAAAACAGAAGAAACCTTTTTTAAATATATTATTGTTAAGTGATGATATAAAATAATAGATTTAATTTAATTGTAATTATGTAAAATTAAATTTTCGAGGAAATAAAAGTATTTAGTATACCTTTAAAAGAAACACTCTGTATATATTATAATAATAAAATATAATTGAACACGTAATTATTACTTATTACGTCATATTTCTCAAGATTTTATTATCACTTTGATACTCTTACCCTGCGTAATTCATCTTATCAAGAACTTTTGAGTTTGAATTGTTCAAATGATATATTTGTCTAAATCAATCACCAATTAAAATGCCCTTATAGAAATTTTCAAAATAATTGTATCAAAAAAATGTAATAAAAATTAACAATATAATAAAATGTCCTTCTATAGAAATAGAGAATTTTAGAACTGTACATCTCCTAATAATAAAAATGTTGATGCGGCTCAACCTATTTAACCCTCCATAACTCCCAAATTATATCTATGATCCTATAAAATTTAAAATTTAAAATTTTTCATCATTATTTATGATTTTAAAATGACTGATTTTTTTTTTACAATTATTTTCATTCTTTCAATTCCAAGTATGGTGACTAGTTATATAATTTAATTATAAATATTCTAATACGACTATTAGGTTGAAATAAACGAAAAAAAATTTTTTCCTTTTAATGAAATCCAATAATCTTTCATTTTGTTCCAAAAAAAAAAAATAATAATAATATTACAATAAATAAAATCGGTATAATAAGTTAGTCAATGTAATTAATATTTATCAAATATTAACTATAAAACATATACCTTATATGATGCTGTTATAAAATAAAATGTATTAGTTATTAGTGTTATCAATATAATATTTTCGAGTCTACTAAAAACAATTATATAAGTAATATCCTTTTTAGTCCAAAACCATTATTGTTAATAATCAGGCCTTCTACATCAAATTTTGGGTGTGCATGCTTAATTTTTTTGTGTGCCTGACATAAAACTTAAAATAAAATACAACCCATTACAAGCAATACGAGTACACAATATACAATTTTTACTCTATTTATTATAATATACATTTGCGCCATAAAATATTATTTTATATAAAATAAGTATTCCTATCAAAACTTCAAAATCTCAAAAATTAGGTACAAATTGATTTCAATGGGTGGGTTTCTATGTTCCGGCTGCAAATAAATCGTGACCCAAATACTAAATTACGTCCCCAGCTTTTTTAGGTTACATGATTTGTATGTTGTATCACTCAGTTTCCAGGTTACACGAATCGCGTTCCTTGATTTTCCATGTTATAAGAATTGTATCCCTATGCTTTTTTTAAGTTAAAAAAAGAGATTTGTCTAATTTATATAAATATAAAATTAAAATAACTACACAAATAACCGAATATAGTTACCAACATATTATATTATAATATAATAGAGTTCGTTATCTTAATATAGTGGATAGCCAATGTAATCAATATAAATAGGTACATAATATTATGTAGAATGACAATAGTTATAGCTCCACCCACGCCTTATTTCCACTCGATAATAATAATCAGTAGAATCGACTTATATTCAGTAAGGACCCGGCCACACTGCGGAAGTATTTTTTCCGGAAATTCCAAACGGGTTAACCATCGTGCAGGTTTTTACACTACCGTCTAAATATCTACTGAATTTATCAACACGCAACTTCTGTACAACTTAGGACGGTTCCAAATAATATGTCCTGTTAAGTATCCGTTCACAGTTAGTAGGATTTTTACCGGCAGAATTCCGGTCAAAGTGTCAATTAACTTTAACTGGGCATTGTAAGAAYGGTACTTAATAGTTTAGACATAATTTGTGTACCAGCAATTTCTTCGGCGCACAATTCGTGAACTGCGATACTTCAGGCCCAACATCACTACCCATTGTGGGTGACCTGTTATTCACAACCCTTAATGCAGTCAGTGTGCATGTTTACTGTCTAAGTACTCGTGATGCATATTATTATGGTTTTGTATCATATGTATAATATAATATCTATACTTAAACTTACAAATATTAAAAATCAAATAAGTTAACCTACAGATAATAGTTTGAATCACTATAGATATAGGTTTATTATGAATGGTATACTACGAAAATCACTTAAGGATTGAATTAAAATATTTTGTTTAGTATATAGATACTCTTCTATTAACACCTGTACATAAAACTTTGAAAACCCTAATTTTATATAGACGCCTACTGCTTARATTTTTACACCAGTTGTGAAGTAACCTGGATAGTGAAGAATTTTTTTTCTCAAATAAGAAATAAGAACTACTCTTTTTATTATAAATTGAAAGATAGAAACGCCCGAATTTCTAAATTTAAATGGGAAAATATTTTCAATATGATTTCATATGTGTCTAATGGGGAAGTTACAATRATTATAATATGAGAAGCATATACCTATGCCTACCCATAAATTAATTTAACGATAGTTGCTATAGGTATAGCAATATTATACCTATATATAATCAGAATTGCTATAAGTTAGGATTAGACGGACGAAGACCGATATACAACAGTAGGTATACGTCATCCGTATTAAAACACAGCGTTAATTGTAATATTGTTATTGTTATTATTTCGCAGAGTTATCGCGTACCTAACTCGGTGCGTCGTTGTGTATATTATGTTAATATCTTCCGAACGGGATCATTTCCGTCTGTCGTCGTTGTGACACTATGTATTATAATATTAATATCGTGTCGGTACAATATAATAATACGACATTGTGCGTGTTTGTGTGTGTGTGTCTCGCGTGTGTGTGTGTGTATAAGTGTGCATGCGTGTGCGTGTGATAATATAGTCGAAGGGACGACTATACGGTCCCCGCGAGCTGTGTAATATATACCTAGCTATGTGTACGCGCATCGCATTGGTCGACGGGCCACCACTCCCAAAAGCCCCTATTGGTCGCAGCCCACGTACACGCGCATAATATATGTAACGCACGTCCCGTCGAACGCGAAAACTTACATCGGGCCCACGATACGTTTTTACTTTGAACTTCACACGGTCCGAGCACGACGTACACCGCGCAGCGGCCACACGCGATCCCATCGCCGTTTAAAAATATATAAGTCGTCGCCGCGCGGACCCGTTTGATCACCATCGAAATAATAATAATAATAATAATTATAACATTATAAACGTATGATTTATAGGCGCAACGCGTCTGCGACTCGCATTTGTTCGTTTTCGTTTTCCGATCGCGTCTCCGCGAATATAGACCGAACGAGCTACTCACCCGCGTCGGAAGAGCAGCGACTACGCGAATGCTCCAAGTCGTGCGCGCCCGACCGCTATTAAAACCGGGTTCGCTTTTTTTAAATTGCCCTTAAACGAAGTTTATTTAATATAACAATATTAGGTCCTGTAATTCAGCCCGTGGTCGTCGTCGCCGCCGTTTCAATTGTAGACAATCAACAGAAATTAACCGTCCCTCCGCCGCCACCACCGCTGGCAGACGACCGCCGCCGCCGCCGCCGCCGCCACCATCCGTATCTCATCGTCGCGCCGCGTGCATGTGCGTGTGAACGCGAACCTGCGATAACCGCAATTATATACAACGGACGCGCCGGACCCAATAACGATAACCGCCGACGGGTTTTCACCCGACACCATCATGGACGAGGGCGCGTTCGACGAGTCGATGATGTTCAACGAATATCACCACCAGACCAAGCCCGGGTCACCGGCCGCGCACCAYCAGCATCAGCCGCTGTTGGCGTTCCAACAGCCCGGCGATATGATGGGATATGCGCTGCCCGTGCCTGACCACATGGACATGCAGCACCATCACCACCACCACCATCATCAGCTCCAGGACATGGACATGCATAGGCACCACCACGGTGTGCCGGACCAAATGCAGCAGCAGCAACAGCAGCAGCAGCAGCAGGACAGGCAGGTACAGATCGGCGATCCGCAGGATTTGTTTCAGATGCCGGTCACGTCCACCGTTCAGGTACAGCCGGCCGACATCGTCGTCAACGCCAACGGGCAGAAACACGCCATCAAGTTGGAAATGGACGCTAACCCGTTGACGACCACCGGTCAACAGTCTACAGGTAAATTATATTTTGAATAGCGAGCAACTATGATATAACATGTGATGGGTGTGTGTGAAGTCGGTCACAAAATCACGAAATGTTAATTTTTTTTTAAGACAGTTTTGAAACGTACGTAGAAAATAAAAAATAATAAAATATGTTGTCTGTCTTGTATTAATAGATATTGAATTCCATAAGGTAGATCAATCTAGCTTGTTGGAACGGAAAATAGTCTAATTATTTGACAAAACCTTACTGATAAATTACATAATTAAAAAAACAAATTTTAAATAGTTAAAGAAAGACTATTAAGGTTAAAATAATAAAATGATTGTTCTTAATTACTAAGTAAACTTATTCCTAAAAATAAATAAAGAAAATAAATTGAAATATTTATTCAACGTCGTATGGTTGAAGCAATTTTTCAATTCTAAAAGCCTGATTTATTGTGAACAAATACCATAGATCCATAAGACACAAATATTTCTTTTCCAGTAATTGTTGTATCGTTTTTCCTCATCATCAATTAATAAAAGAAACACTTTTACTTGCAGGACTACCGCCTGAACAACCGGTGCCAAAGAAATCTAGTTCTAAATCAAAAAACACTGACAACAACGGGACAAAGAAGAAAAAGACGAGGTCAGTATATACTCATAAGTCATAAAATCTTTTGATATAAAATATAATATTTCTTTCCTTTTTGTAATATTTTTATCCATCTAAAATGRCCAAGCAGAGTACAATTTCTAATTAATTTCATTTGAATYAATCGTAAATTGTACAATAACGCTTTAGATAATAATATCACTATAAGTATATCGTTTACCATGCGTTTGTGCAGGACGACATTCACGTCTCATCAATTGGAAGAGTTGGAACGAGCATTCGAGAGAGCTCCGTACCCTGACGTGTTTGCCAGAGAAGAATTAGCCTTGAACCTTAAGCTTAGCGAGTCTAGGGTTCAAGTATGGTTCCAAAACCGAAGAGCCAAGTGGCGGAAAAGAGAGCCACCCAGGAAAACAGTTTACTTGACCAATTCCGGTAAGTGTATTCTATAATACAGTTGCTAATAAACATACATACACTTTTTGTCACTCAAATCATCAGAAAATACATAATGCTCTTAAGCTATTTTATAAATCTTAGGTTCCACTGTGCAATAAACAGTGTTATATTATACCATATTATATTACAGACTACAGTGAGCAGAAAATATAAATTACGTTAAAGCTAATAACTAAAAATATTCACATTAATAACCTAAAAATAAAATGTGTTATTTATATTTTTTAGTTTTTGCTTATTGTATGTATTATAATGTGATGACTGGAGACTGACTAATTTTATAAATTGATATTTGTAAGATTTTAGTGTCAAAAATAATATGTTACCTATCTAGGTAACTATCTAGTTAGCAAAATACTTGTGGCTAATWTCAAATTTACAATTTAATGTGTGCGCTTACATCAGACACAAGCTATGTGATAATGTATAATTAAAATGTTTACAACTCTCATCAATTTATTACGATTATTACTTATAAAATACACCTATAGCTCTGCAAAAATCATATTTATATTTTATCTACTAAGTACTAAGTACTAGTAGGTTACTCATTATATCATTAACCTCAGAATATCTTTTTCAAAATTATTTCTTAAGCCACTGAGCTATGGTATAAATACATATTAATTAGTGATTGGCCATCTTAAGATTCAATATTCTCTTAACAGAAGGTGCTGCACCCACCATAAGTTGTCTCCATCTCACAAACGTACAGCATTGCAAATTTGTGTTCAGCGAAAAAATTTGTTAATATTAGCTTTAAYATTGTTAAAGTGAATTAATCTATTAATAATCTTAAAGTTAAGAACATTATCTGTATAAATGTTTGTATGTAAATTGAGTTTTTACGATATTTCTATTTTTAAGCAATAAGTATACAAGTAATAGAAGTATGAAAAATATTTTGGCAACTTGAACTCAATTAAAACTTAAAATACCTACTATCCAATATTTCAATCCAACTAGTGCATACGTACAAACCCATATTATTTTCTAATATTTTAGTTGTAAAACAAGTCTATTCGCTCTAACAACTAAGTTAATACACAAAGTTGGTCTGGCTAAACGCAAATGTCCAATAATGATATTATGTTGTACGTTTTTATATACAACGAAGGCAACACGTGCAGGTATGGCGTCCTCTTAACCTGCACCTTAGTCAAACATAACCGTATATGGTATTCTCGGAAGTGCTTATTGACAAGACAAGCAACCCTTGACGTCTGTAGTCTCATCATTATATTACGATTATGATTTATGTTACAGTTTTCCCGTCCGGATCTCCGGGATCGTCGGTGAGCTCGACGTCGTTCACCACGCTGACGACGTTTGGTGGTAATGTGTCRCCGTCATTGGGTACTTGTTCGCCGGTCACGCTCAGCGGCTCGGAGCCCTGGGGCTACGGTGCCGCTGGTTACGGGGACCTTGCACACCTGAACCTGCTCAACAGCAATGGGTCGTCGCCGTTCGCGCAGAACGCGTTCCACGGCAGCGGTAGCAACAACAACAATAACAACTTTGCCGGCACGCCGTACGCCGTCCAGCCACAAGACAGCCCGGGCCTGTTCTCGGCCAGCATGCAGTGCCTGGCTCGGCAGGACATGATGGGTCCACTGGACCAATCGCCGCCCGATCGCGACTATCACGGGCATCAACTCAACAAGCACGTGGTCGACTCGTACGTGATGAGCCAGGATATGGCAGGACTCTTGCAGCCGGACGCCGAGTGCGACATCGTCGGCACCATGGGATATGAAGTCCAAGATCACCAGCAGCATCAGCATCAACAGCAGCAGCAGCAGCAACAGCAGCARCAACAAATAGACGAAGACGGGGAAGATGAGACTGCGATTAAAGTTGAGCCACCGTTTACGCCACTTCCGCCTTTCATCAACTGACACAGGAGGTTTCAGTTTGACACGTACGAGTATCAAACTGAATTCGAATGAATCCGACACGCCTCGTTTCAAATCGCTCATGTCTCCACAAATAATTCATGTGTATAATTTTTCGGTCTATGCACTGATATTTATGTGTACAGTGCCACCGTTCAGTGTTCATGTGTGAGACCACCATCTTTTGCAACATCCTGCAASGTTGGGAAAAACTAATGATAAATAATTACCGATGGGCAATAATGGTTTCGTACAAATCACCGTCGTCGAAATTATATGACAAGCACGTCGGCAGAGACGATCTATTAAAAAAAAAAATCAAGATTAAATAATAAGAATTAAGAATCGATATTTATAAGTGCAAAATAATAATTTTTATGTAAATAAGTGATTTGGTTTATTCATTTTGTATTCCTAATTTATAAAGTAACTATTATTATTAAATAATATATTTATATATTCGTGTGGCATGCGTATACATTTCAATTGGGACTGTAATCGTTCAGTATTACTCGTCCAAAGGAAACTAATATAAGCTAATTATTTATTTTTTTATTTAGATAAAAAAACACTACGTATTACATACATTATAAAATTATACATGTAAATTATTATTGTATTTAACAGATACACAACAAAATCGCATTATTCTTCCATAACGATTAAGTGTATATAAATATAGATTTTATAGTACAGTAAATATTATATTATATTAAATTATATAATTATAATCATTTGAAATTCGATTATTCGAAAACTTGTGTATTCTAGWTGTGCCTTATTTGCTTGTAAGTAGTTTGAGTAACTTAAATAAACTACGTATACTACCTAATTGTATGTGGTCTATAATAGGTTTATAAATTATAAATAAGGACTTGTAACTATATATAATTACTATGTGTACAATAAAACAATTTTATTTTTTTATTTTTATGAGAATCGGTGATTACCTATTTTCAATAACACCTTGAAAGAGCTCTGAATTCGTAATTTTGAAAAAAAAAATCATTTCAGATAAATGGTTTAGAATGGAAGGTTTTTAAATTTTTTTTCTTATATAATCTATATTTTTAATTCCATATTTAAAACTTTATATAATAAATATAATATCGCTAAGTGTTACGTCAACATTTTGTAAAAAATCATTCTTCGCCCGAGTATAAACTTAAAAATATAAGTTATTATATTTAAAAAAAATCTATAGGTAATATCACTATGATGAAAAAAAAAACATAGTAAAAATTACATATTTAAAAAGAATGGCGTGTTAATACTTAAAACTATAATTATTATTTATTATTTTTATGCACACGAATTGAGATAGAATGATATTAGTGAAGAGTGGAGACTATTAAAAAAAATCTTTATATATTAATCAAGACGCAAGAGTCATGACTAATAATTATATTACTTCATCTGTCTGATACCGATCATTAAATATTATATATCATATATATATATAAACAATAAACATGTATAGGTGTTTAATCAATACGGCCACGTAATAATATTATTGTGATTTATTTGAAACATTTTTTTACGCTCTATTAAATTTGTTTCTTTTTGTGTGTGTGTATGTGTTTTGTCTTTCATGACCTTTTTGAACAGTAAAAATGCTTCAATTTTCTTCAGCAAATCTTTTCTTGTAGGAAAGTGAATCTAGTTGGTACTTTAAGAGGTTAAAAATAAGAAATTCCCAAAAGTTTTCAAAAAGATTAGGAAAATCTGGGATTTTTACTCAAAATTGGTTTTCGACAAATTCGATCTTGATTTTTGGTGTGACTAAAAAAAATAATAATAATACATAAGAAACATTTTTTTCTTCAGAATTTAAACATCAAAATTAGACAAATATATTTACATATTAAAACTAAGAATAACTTAAAATGTGACCAAAATATAATATGTACTATAATTCCTATACCTACTAAGTCTGTGGGTTAGTACACTTTTTTTATCATTATTATTTTTTACTTATTGTTGATCATCAGAACAATTTAAATAATTTGAAGTACCTACTTGTTTCTCATAGTCAACCTTCGATCAAAATAAAATAATTTATATTGTTATAACATGTTCCAATGCATGTCCTCATAATTTTACACGTATGATGATAATTTAAGAGAGTGAAGTGCTCATAAAATTATCTTATTGATAGGTACTAAACATGTGAAAAATTGTAATCTATTGATTGCCAATAGGTGTCAACTCGCACACCTTAGTGTTAAGTAATCACTTTTACTGTAAATTAAAACTTGAATTTCATAATGTTTAGTACTTTTTTAATTTGTTTAAGCATGGACAAGTTCAAATATATTCAAATTGTTTTATTTGGATTCTTTATACTAAAAGGTAAGTGAGTGTAATATTAACTACTTAAAAAATATCATATTGTGTTACATTGAACTTGAACACATCCCGCCATGACAACTTCGTTATTTTTTTTCACTAGCCAACRACTAATTAAATATTTAACTAAAATTATTTTTTAAACAGTATGTTTTTTAAACCAATTAGGTATGTATTTTTATTATTTTATGTATGTAGTATACTTTTGATCTGATTTTAACCGTTTGAACCGATT